TTCTGAGGAACTACATTGTTTGGTGGAAGAATAATGTTTTTATTAATATCATTACACTTTATTTGCTCGGTTTTATTTTGTGAAACCTTACTACGTATATGGAATAACCGTTTTATAAAAGCAATAAGCCCCATGAAGCCGTGGTTTACAGTGAATTTATAACAGCTAAGGGGCATTGTTAAGGCACGACGCGAAGCGGAGTCTTCTTGGGGCTTATTGCTTTATTTTATAATAGTAATTACATGTAACATGTGTAACAAGGACACCTTAAAGTAAAGTGTTACCCAGTTTTCTTACCACTGAGCCTGCCAGGCCATGAATCTAAAGGTGGGGTAGAGAAACCAGCCCATCTCAGACAGCGCCCCCTTCTGGTTGATCGCGAAGAAGTAGTTTGGAGAAGGTGTGACCTGGAATGTCACATTCACAGGGCGTCCCTTTCTATCGAAACAATCCACGTCAAAAATGACTGAAAAACATTTGTGAATGATTTAAAAAAATATATACAACACTGCATGATTTATCAGCCTGTTTAAATAATAGAAGTAATGCTGCAAACGTTGCAAATACACACATAGTTCTTAAGTAATAAATAATGAAGTGCTGAAATGTTATTATGACTTGTTTGACAACACACAACCAATCATAAACAGCCTCTGTGCTTATCTTATTCAAAATTCATGTGCCGTCACTAAAACTTTCACATGCGATTTTTCATGTGAAGGAAACTACACAAAAATGACAGCAAAAGAATTAAAGGGAGTGATAAAAGATATGTTTTATTAATAGGCTGAAATATACTGCAGCATTTTTACAGATGGCCAGGCTGTATAAAAATAAGTAGTGTGTTTGTATGTTGAATGTTTTTAATTAAAGTTATTAACTTCACACGTATACAAAAAAGAACCACTATTATTACTTGACTTCATCCTAAATTAAATAAAGAAAGAAAAAAAACTTTGTCTTTCTCTTTATTTATTCCTTCCCTTTCTAGCTTGTACTTATTTGAACAAATGCCTGAAACTTGGTATTACGAGCACTTCCTGTATCTGTTTGCCTCTTTAAGAAGAATCGCTTTATGTGTTCCCCAATTGTAAGTCGCGTCTGCAAAATGACTAAATGTAAATGTATTATTTATATACTATTATGTATTATTTTTCATAGTTATAAAGTATTTAGAATTAGCTTTTATTTTTCGCTTTCATTTTAATTTTAAGTTTTAGTACTTTTGTTGTGTGCTTTTGTCATTTTTATTAGTTTTTTTTTTTAATATTTCAATTTAGCCTTATTTTTTTATTTTTTGTTTTAGTTTTATTTTGGTACTTATTTTGTTTTACCGCAGTGCTTGAGTGACAGATGGTTCGATATGGACCATAGACGCAGGTATGTTGATGGAGGTGGAACAATCGTCTCCTAAGCAGTTCATGTCCTGTATGGGATTCCCAGGTAATGCATACACCAGCACTCCGGTAGCGTTCGATTCAGCCATGGTTTTTATCTTAAACATTTAAAAACATTGAAAATCAGGCCATATCTTGTATCTTGAACAAATATCCATGCTGCCTTGCTCATGCAGCTCACCTTTGTGAAGAAAGAGCAGCCACCCTCAGATACCCACGCGACTGCACCTTTGATAGATGCTACAGGTTCACAAGCATCACCTGCATCCAGCAGTCTGTAAGGATCTGCACCCCAGCGTCCATTCAGCCAGTCGTATCGGGCATTGAGACGCTTGGTGATCACCGGTGCGCTCCAGTCTGCAAATTCCAGAAAATTTAAGAAATGATGCCCCCAAAACAAATGGAACCTAGTCATGTGATCCCATCAAGACGCACTCACCTGGAGAGGAGAAAAGCACCTGAGCGAGGCCGCAGTTGTGTCCACCACATCCCCATGAGTACAGAACTCTGGGTAACCAGTTACCCAGCGCAGACACAGGAGTAGGAGAGAAATGCAGTCTGGACAAGATCTCTTTTCCTCTAACAAGTCAACAAAAATGGTGTTTGAATATTAATTGCCTTGATGTCATTTTTGCATACTGTGGTAATATCACACTACAGTTGCGACGTTTTTAAAGGTAATTAAAAAAAATACTATAGTATTACCATGATATCCAAACATCATAATATGACCTGGTATTTTTGATATAAATAAATAAATAAATAGTAAATTAAAAAAAAAATTATGAATTAAAAACCTGACTGTCTGCATCTATCTATCTATCTATCTATCTATCTATCTATCGTTCTATCTATCTATCAACACAGTGATGTGATATCAGATGGTAATACCATAGTACTTTGATATATTCTACAATATTGAATATTCATATATTTGTATACTACACACGGAAATTATTTAAATGGTTTTCCAAGGTAATTAAAATATTAAAAATGAATTTAAAAATATGATTAACAACAAGTACTTTTTAGTCCAAATAAAAAAATACATATATAAATAAATGAACCTATTTATACATACAGCGATGGTCTTCGATGGTAAGGTAATGTACTTTGTAATATCCTATAATAATAAGGTAGTGAAGTGTTTACATAGTTGTATACTGTTGTTATTATTTAAATGGTTCTCGAAGGTAATTTACAAAATACTACAGTATTAACCATGATGTCAAAAAATTATAATAAATAAATAAAATAATTGTATAAATAAAAAATGAATAATAAAAAATACATAAGTAAATAAATTAATACATTTTTAGGAATAAAAAAAAAATGGGTCTGTCTGTCCGCATCTCTATCTATCTATCGCTACAGTGAATGTTCATATATGTGTATACTATATGGTAATTATTGAAATGGTTCTCCAAAGTAATTTTGAAGAATACAACAGTATCATGTTGTCCAAAATCATAATAAAACGTGGTACTTTCTGGTAGAAAGAAAGAAAGAAAGAAAGAAAGCAAGCTACAGTGATGGTGTGAGATGTTAATGTGATACTGAATGTGTCAGTACCCATGAGCTGCGGCTCTGTACACCTGTTCTCTCATCCAGAGGGCGTCCTGCAGCGCAGTGTCATCCAGGGACAGCAGCAGGACTTCAGTGTTGGACGGCAGATATGTCAGCAGGTCCGACAGAGACTCGCTCCACGTCCACAGACACTCCAGAAAGGCGGATTTATTGGTGAACGCGTGAACGATGAGCACACTCCTCGAGTCGTTCTGAGGACTGTAAATAAACACTCCGTCCAGAGTTTGCACCTGGAAAGCAGGAGCAACATCACCAGGTTCAAACCCCTCCAGACCTTCAGTGGACCTTCTTTTGTATCTGGTGCTACCTGCATTCTGCTCCGCAGAGTCTATGTGCTGCAGATTATCAGAGGATTTCGCATTTCTCGGAGGAGACGTTGCATTAACGCGAAACGCAGCGCAGAAATATAACAGATAAAAACAAAGCAGCAGAAATCGACAATACAACATGGTTTTCAGCTGAGAACGGGCATTTCTTTGTTTATGAACACGCACGTGAACTGCACACGCTCCCGAATCTGTGTAGCTCGAACGTTACATTGTTTCACTTTTAATTCAAGTTCTTCCTCATTTAGATAAACGCGGGGGCGTGACCTACGGAGGCCTGGCAGGTTTGAGTGACACGATCAAATGGCCAATAAGAGACGAGAAGGAGCGTATTACTATGCAAAATACTAAATAGAATCATACAAAATAAATATTCAAAATACACTCAAATCTTAGAAAGAATGAAAAACAGCAACGAATGGAAAATCTATTTAGTTTTATTTAATCTGCGAACCATTTCAATGACTTTTATTTTATGTCCATTTTTGGGGCTTTCTTTAATATTTTATTTCTTCAAATGTTATTTGGTGTTATTTATATACGATCATAATACTTATAACTATTTTGATATTAGCTTTTATTTTTATATTTTTAGTTTTCATTGCATTTATTTCATTTTTCATCTATTTAGCCTTACTTTATTTTTGTCAGTTTTAATTTGTAGTCATTTTAGTGCTTCAACTTATACTTATTTTAGTTAGTTGCCAAGGCATTTTTATTCAGTTTTTTTTTTTCAATTTTTCATCTATTTATATTTTATTTTATTTTATTCCAGCTTTATTTCAATTAACAAAAAATTCTAATAGTTTTACTTTTAACAATAACACCAGTTTCATTTTTTTTCTTTCATCATATCAGCATCTAATGTTTCCTTTTTCTTTCGTCCTGTGCAGCACGCACTTTCAAATGTATTATATTAATTAATGTATTAATAAGTAATTTAATTACATGAATATTCAATAATCATATCTAATTAAGTTTATCAATTTAATTAAAATAAATTAAAATGTAATTAAAATAAATTCAATATTGATCATTAAAATTAGTAAATAGTATTTTAAAATGATATTAAATCAACAAATAAAAAAATAAAAAATAAAGATAAATAAATAGAGCCGCTAAAGAATCCTTTAAAAGAATCAGCCAACAGAAATATATATATATAAAATTTGTTCAAGAAGAGAAGAGAAGAGAACATTCTTTTAAAAGACAAAGCGGCTGCTAATGCTGAATCGTGTGTGAATCAATAGGTGCGTTCGACTTCATGCGGCGCCGCGCAAACCGATCGGCGGAGCAGAAAGTGTCCGGCTTGACGGCTTCGTTTTCACCTCCGCCCCCGACTGCAAGCGGCTACTCTCGTTGACTGCTGTCTGTAGCCGTGCTTCAAGTCGAACGCACCTATAGACTGTATAAAAACATGGACGTAGTGTCCGTGACGTAACCAGTAGACTTCCGACGAGCGTTTTGAAGCCTAAAGTAGGCGGAGCCACCCGTCGCCATCTTGGCAGCACGTCACCGGTTGGCCATTTTAACATGGGGAGTCTATGGGATTGACTCCCTTTTGCAGCCAGCCTCTAGCGGCCAGTTGACGAATTACAGTTTAAGCCACTTCCTTGTTGGCTTCACGAGAGAGAGCGGGAGGTTGCCGCTTGGTGTGAATCAAATCTAATAATGTGGGTTATCTTACAAATGACTTCCAGGGCAGAAATTTCAGACTTTTGTGGGTCTAATGGGAAAACGGAATGTGGTTGAACCAGGCTTGTCAGTTTTTTTCTTTCCTTTTTCCACATGCATAGCCTACAGCATATTCTGTCACAACATTTTTAATGACATATATTTTCTTTTAGGATCCTTCTAGGAAAAAGACGAGCGCTGTGACTTTGTTGAAGCTTTTAACATGCACCTACTTTTGGTCCAAAACGTCAGGCTGAAACTGATAACGCTCTGTTCTGAAATAAATTAATTCAAAATAAAAACAAGATAATAGTTATTTGGGAAATTGCATTTGTCTTATATATAAATCCAGTTGCGCCAAAAACAGTTTGGACACTAAAGCCACAATTAAAAATGTCTTAAGTGTGTCAACGAACTAGTAATGTTTTACCACCCAACAAAAGTAGTTTCAACGTCTCCAATCCAAAAGAATGAGGAAGGATTGGTAATGTGTCCACACCGCCACCTAGTGCTGAAGAGTCATACTGTCACATGACACATTTCCATGATCTTTGCAACTTCTTTGGCTTGCGCTCATGTTAAACGGACACAAATACAAACAAAACCAAATAACTAGAACTGTTCACAAATAGTCATTCGATTCATTCACAAATTAGTTTGAGCGTTAAAAGAGCGACCGTTTCACTTTTAAAGAAATCTTCAAAGGCATAAGTGATTTTTATTTATTGGCTCTTTAAAATTGTGATGCATTTGTTGCTTAAGCGTAAATAGATGACAGATGCCACTGAGCTAGAGCTAGAAATTAATTTTTAATAAATATGTAATTCAATTTGCGAGACTTTTAAAATACGTAACGAGCATTATTTTATTAACATACCAAGTCAAAGACTTAAATTCATTTATAATTATAATGTTGGTCCCACTTTTACTTTTTACACTTTAAACATGAATTATTCTTGAAGGTGCAATGTATTACTGCCATATAACTGTAAAACCTATTTGGAAACATTCATTATTAATACAAACATAACACATTTTAATGATTAAATATTGAGCAACACTATACTTTTAATGTGATACAAGGGGATAATAAGTGATGAAAGTGTGACAACTGCCCCGTAACAAAATAATTTCAATATTATGATCAGTGTTTCTTGTACAAAAACGCTGTAGGTAGATTTTTAGTCGATTTTAATGTTTATAAAAAAACAACAACAACCTTATGACGGTTCCCAGTCTTGCAACACTATTTGAGATCTTTCAGCAATCTAAATGAGCACCCTGTATCATCACAAGTTTATTAAGAGACTGTACAATACAAATGAAAAATAAAATGAAAAATACAGAGAACATAACATTACAAAACAAAAATTGCTTTGGACTCGTGTCCTAACAGCCAAAATACTGTACAGCAGAGGTGAGCTTACAGACAAACATGTTGAAACCTCTCTATCATGAGCACGACCGTTCCGGTCCATGAATTAAGACACCCGTCTGCTGAGTATTAAAAAACATACAAAAAATATTACGTTAGCTGTCTTGGTGTACGTATACATATTTATATATATATATAAAAATAACTGAAATAACATTAATGAAGTTATAGGAGGTGGTCAAAGGATATTGACTAGACAGACATTATACTTTGGAAACACTTCTGCAATAAGAGAAAAACTAAATTATAAGCCAAAACAGCAAATAATACGTTTGCCCGTCCCCGGATGTCACTTGTGCATTTACAGTTGTAGAATTTGACCACGTTACATGGGATTCTTCATCCAGGGAAAATAGAGCACAGTCCCATTTTTTCTTTTTCAAAAAACGCACTTCTGTTATAGAGGTTCATGTTATTCAGTTAACGAGTAAACAATTTATCACCAAAATATAGTTCAACAGTTAGACATTTTTTCCAATATAACTGTAGACATCAGCTGGTAAGTGAATTCATTATATATTTCGTTTAGATCGGTATAGGTTTGGCTTGCCTAAGACTGAGTTTCACAAAGGTAAACGCTTTAGCCGAAATCCACGAACAGCTTGAACGCCTCGGTCAGACCGCAAGGACAGCTCGGAGTCTGAAGGCTACATAGATATCAGGTCAGGGGGGTTGGCGAATGAGAACAACCTGCTCATCATTACAGATTTTAAAAGATCTTCCCTTTCTTCTTATTCTTTTCCAAAGTCCTGTTGGGGAGAAAAAACAACAACAATAATAATAAAAAAAAAAACTGCTCTGAGCAGGGATGCATTATTTTAGAAATTCAGAGGGAAAATTATATCATATATTAAAAATATTATATATATATATTTTTTAATATTATATATCTAACAATATCTATCTGACAAAAACTGTGGAACACACACTATTTATTCACTCATACACTTATTTATCTAACACACATACTCAGTCTACATTTCAATTTGCACATAATATACCTGTACATACAACTGTCTATTGTTATATACCTGTACATACAATTGTCGATTTGTATATTTTTTATTCCTTATTTTACTTGTTCTATTTTTTATTTATTTTTATTTTTTATTATCTGTGTTTTTTTGTTCTGTCACTGTCATTCTGTTACACTGTGGAAGCTTCTGTCATGAAAACAAATTCCTCGTATGTGTAAACATACCTGGCAATAAAGCTCATTCTGATTCTGATTCTAAATATTATATATTTAATTTATCGGATCACATACATTTTCTGCTGCTCCAGGATACGCTGCTGGGTCTCCCAGGTGGATCTCTCCTCCTCAAATTGACGTCGTCTCTCCTCCAGCTCCTTATGCTGAGCCTCCAGGTTCTTCTTCATCTGCTCATGACGCCGCTGCAGCTGCACAGGCCACACAGAAACAAGAGGTCAGGCTCTGTTATTGCCCGTCAAATCAAGCACACTAAGCAGACAGCTGACACAGATTGCAGAATTTAACTAAAGAGCAAAAAAGCATTTCTAACTTGAGTGTTTCAGTATCATTGAGACACTATTATAGTTAATTAATATTATGAATACGTTTTTATTGTTATATTTTCTATTTTATTTTTAGTTAGGGTTTTAGTTAAAAAAAAATTTTTTTGCCTTAATATATAAAAAAAGTGTCTATATAGTATAATATGCCTGTGATTATTTTTATTCATTTAATTTTTTTTAGTACGTTTGTCATTTTTATTCTTTTTTTTTAAATCTAGTTTTAATTAATTTACTTTCATTTATTTTAGTGCATCAATTTAAATAAAAATGAAAAAAAAAAAAAATCTTAAAATCAGTTGATTTTATTCAGTTTTTTTATGGTTTTAGTTTAACTATAATAGCCCTGGTGTGGAAATGTGCATATAGTAAATATAAATGAAAGTATGATTAATTATCAGTGTTGACCAGTGTAAACGTCATTATTTTTAATCTATATTCTTACTTTTTTACTTATTTTTGGAATTTGCAATGGCTATGTGGTCCAAACTAGTGTTCAGAATAAAATAAAATAAATTATATTTATATAAAGATGTTATTCTTTTAGTTTTTATCACCTAATCCATTTTAGGACATGTCGAGGAATTGTGCTGTCAGTACCTCTGCCTCTGAATCTTT